CTTTAAAATAAGGCATTAAACGATCTTGTTCTTTAACATGTAATATAGAGTTGACCGTGTGAGATGCAAGGGTTTTGAAGATTTTATCAAGAGTTTGACCTCTTGACCTTTGAAAAAAGCAGTGTCTTCGAGAGTCATCATTGTCTTCTAATTTAAAAATTATAGATTAATAAAATTGAAAAAGGACTTGAATTGTGTTATTAATATAATGGATGAATTAAATAAATTACCTGACTTTACTAATTCAAAAATAAAATAAGGTTTATCCTTTACTACAGAAGTTAACAAATAAAATTTGTCAATCTTATTACTAATTAAGCAATAAAGCAAAGGTTTCGATCTTATTACTGATTAAGCAGATATTAACAAATTATTATGATTTGAGAGTAGATCATCGCGTGAGTTCAAAAGTATAAAGAGAAAGAGCATGCTAAATCCTATTTATAATAAAACAGAAAGGTCAAGAATGATAAAAACTTGGCAAAATATGTTAAAAAAGTCAGTGTAAACACACACAAATGGGCAGCAGCAGCGTTAAGTTAAGCAATCATATAAAGTGATACCGCAGATTTCAGATAAATTTTAGAACTACAAATAAAAAACTGATTTAATAAAAAAAAAGATAATAAGAATAAATAATGGCCATTTTTGCCATACAGGTATATGTACTGCAAAAACAACTGTGCCTCAAAAACCACTATGTAGGCTTAAGTGACCTAGAATACAGAACTGGGGTGCGGCAGCTGATGTTTACCATGAATTAAAGTTTCAACAGTTTTTAGTTAAGTCAAAAGCTGAGTTATTCTTTATACTAAAATATCTTTTTAAATTTTCACTTTGAACTAAAGTGAAAATTTTAATTTAAAAAGTTGTATTTATATTAGTTTTGCAGGAAACTAAAACAAATACACCTGGAGAAAATTAGGAAAGTTGTATTAGTAAATAAATTAGAAAAAAATGACTAGGATATCTAAAAGTTTGTAGTCTACCAGATATAACATTTATAAAACAACAGGTTATTACAAAAGCATTTGGTCTTTATTTGATTTCTTTATTCAGAAAAAAAAAATTAATATTGCTGACAAATAAGACATTGCTTTAGGCCAAGAACTTGACACTTGCTTTGTTTGTAAATTTTACTTTTACATTTAATAAATCTGAGTTTCTTCTTTTTCCTTTTGGCTTTCTCCTTTCCTTTTGGCTTACTCTTTTCCTGTTGGCTTGCATTTATTCTTTTTTATCTCCCTCATTTTTTCTGCAACATCTTTAGCACACATTGAACTGTAGACCTAAGTAACACAAGTAGATGTTTTTTTAAGGTTTGGTTAGAAGCTTTACTAAGCCATATCTCTAATCAAGCCTGATTAAACTTGTATTTCCAATAACTTGCAAAATTTTTCTTTTTACAAACTGGGGACAAAATGGTTGATTTATGAATTTTAAATTAGATTGACACTGGTGATGAGGTTCTTTTTGAATATATAAAACTTAAGATCACTCAAGTATATGAAGTTGCATGAAGTTAATACTTATGGCAAATGGTATTAATCCAACATTTTTTGCATTAAAGACAAGGACCTGTTTTGATGCCCATTTCTCCCATATATTGCCAAAGATTATCATAAGCCCCTATTGATTGATTTATTGCACTGGGTTGAAAAGAGAATTCTTGAAATTTTTGTGCCTGATTTTTCTTAATAATAAATAACCAAATTCATTTTAAAAGGAGGTATATTAACCCATAGTCATAAAACAATCTGGCCAGATAAAGAGCGCTATTGTTTATCTTATAGTTTGGATTTTTTAAATCCAGTCTACTAATAAGTGCATACTTTTTGTAAACAAAAATGGGTTAAAATAATATTTTTGAAAAAAAACTATTCTTTTATCCTTGTTTTTTTGCTAATGCCTGGTGTTTATTGTTCCATTTTTGGCTTTGGTACTTCTTAAAAAAATAAAGGTGTTTTACTTTTTAAAATTCAATCCTCTGATGATGATTTTAACAAAGAATGGAGAATAAATGTTTTGAATACTATAGGTACTTAAGATATTAGTAGTTGATAAAAGCCTTAGGTCCCAAATAAAAAAAGTTATTGTTTATTTGTGAAAAGCATTACAAGCATTACAGGTTCACTACCAACATTTAATTTTCCAAGCAATGCCATATTCTTCTTCATGTATGTTTATTCCTAAAGCACGAGCATTAGCTGTTTCTATATCCCTAAAGAAATCAACTTTTCCTGTTGAAGTAGTTCATATTAAATCATATACATCTTTGGTCAAACGTATTAGTCTACAAAAACTTGACTGGGATGTAAATATTAATGACACTTTTTTAAATTGAGTAAGAAGTAGAGAGTGACATGGGGATGGGTTTTTGTCCCCATCCCCACCCTGTTCATTGAATTATGCCCCCATTTCCACCCTGCTATCCCAGAGGTAGTCTCCATCCCCACCTCATTACCGGAGAAGTTGCCCCTATTCCCACCCCATTCCCGCATTCCTTTTAGGATTCTCGGCACTATCCTCGTAAGCGAAATTATTATTTCTATCAAATATTATAATATATTGTAATATTTCTTTTAATACTAATGTACATTTTAATTTTTTTTAAACATTTTATAACACATACAAAAGACAAATATAAATGTATTAATAAAAAATGTAGAAGACAAAATATGTGTATTTATTATAATACTGTAATTAAATTAGCATTTAAAATTATCTTTAACATTAAATGTAAAAATAAATGGAATTTATAATTTTAGTAAACCTCTCGTTTACTATTTGTTTATTTTTATGGGCTCTGCCAAATCATATATAGTATGTCCAGGTATGCCAGATTAATTAATTAGTTCTCATGGCTATCTTCTTCCTGTTATGCCTAAAAATTTTGAATTAATTTAATAGTTATTCCTTAACTTTAAACCAATCAGAACATACCCAAGCTTTTCAAGTGAAGTTGTTAAAAAATGATATTTATAAAGAATGTTAATGTCTTCAGTCTCAAAATAAAATATCTGTAAAATATATATAGTGATAAATAAGATTTGATTTTATCTTAAAGATAATATCAAAAAAATGCAACAGGAATTAAATAAATCACATCTTGTCAGTGATGACCTATAAAAAAACTTTTTATAGGTCTTTTTATAGGTTTCAATCATATTAAAAAATAAAAGTACAGTCACTTCGTTTATGAAGTTATTTTGGGATGAGCAACAAAAATACTTAAATACTTTAGGGAACAGGGAATTCATTATCACCCAATTATTATGATATATTTCTTTATATCATGAAATTGTAAATGAATTAAGTTTAAAGGTAAAGGATTTTTCTAATCAAGAATGATTTGTTACACTATTATTAAATAAAAAATAAATATAAATGAAAATAAAAATAAAAATTCAAGATAATTTAGTATGGAATAAGTATTCTGGTGATCTTATAGGATTTGTTGACCTTGGTGACACTAATATTAACTATGCAACTCTGAATAAGGCTGATGAAATTGCATTCACTTGAGCTGCTAAATTGATTAGCAGCTCAAGTTCTCAGTTCATCTGCTAAGATTGCTTTGAAGACATTTGGTCCAGCTGAAGAAAGAAGCCTCTAGAAATGCTGAGTATTATCAAATGTTAAAAATATTTTTTGATTGTGTGGATGTAAGAAATATTTTAGATTGTAATAGAAATCAAAACCCATTTTCTGCGCCAATTTATTTGATAACTGAAGACTAATATAGTTGACAAATATGGTTGACTGAAGTTTTTTTTTTAATTTTGAAGATTGGAAATTGTCAATAGATCAAAGACCTTGATTTCAATAAAGCTGGTCAAGGAAACATGTTTTTACCTTGGCAAACATGTTAAGGGATCAATACCACTGTCCATTTAGTTGTTGATTTAGTTAAATACCTTTTAAATATTGGTTTCCAATATGTTTTAACTGAACGTCTTTGTCAAGATTCATTAGAAAACTATTTTAGCCAATAGTGAGCCATAGGAAGAAAAGATAACCTATACTTACATGATGTGTACATTGGCTTCTTATTGTGTTGTCATTATAGCCATAATGACAATACAATATGAAACCAATATACATTCAAGCTAATAGTAGAAACTAACAGTCTTGATAACAGTCCTGAACCAATGGCTTTACCAAATTTACCAAATTACAGACCAATTTACCAAAGAAAAAATACCAGGCCAAAATCGGAATAAAAAGTTAAACCTTATAAAGGCCTTATTTTGTATAAAATAATTTATTTTAAATATTGTTTTTTTTTTACAGGGTTTTGTTAGGGAGGGATCTCCCTACTAAAACCCTGTAAAATCCTGTAAGTGAATATATCATAAAAAATTTATGATTGTTGAATAAAATATATATTTATTTTATTTGTTGTTTAATAAAAATATTGTTTAACTTAAATCATTAATTTTCTTATATTTAAGTCTAAATGTTATGAAACATGTGGATAAAAACCTTTAAAATAATGTAATCTTTACAAATGTTCACAGAAACAACATCATATAATGATTTTAATAATTTCAATTAAAGTATTATTAGCATTACTCACCCATAACCTTTGAACTATAATATATATAACTATATAATATATAACTTTTAGGTTTTAATAAGTTATAAATATTTACTAAAATATAATAAGTTACCTGATGGTTGCAATTGTTAACAGTAAAATGACAAAACAGATTTTAACAAATCGTATCAAAAAACTAACATTTTTAAATTTTTACAAAATTAATTACAAACCATTAATCATTTATTAAATCTAAAATTTAACAACTTATTAAAAATATGTAATATAACTATTGATTTATTTCTTTAAAAGGTTTTTATCTACAAACTTAAATTTTGTAGATTGACAGATTGTAGTTTTGATAGACAAAAAAGATTTGCTGATATTGCAAACTTTTTAACAGCTAAAAAATTGTAACTTTTTATAAAACTTTAGATAATAAAAAAAATGTAACAATTACCACTTCTTCTTTAGTGTTGTTTGAAAGATTTTTTAGTTTTTCCTTATCGTCATTGTTATTACCAATATTTTCAGCTGAGCTACTAACACCTTTGTTTTCTAATGGATTTGATTCAAAATGGTTATTTTTTTCATGAGACTTGTTTTCAGGTAGATCCTAAAAAATTATTTTAAAAATTATGAAGAACGTGAAATCTTTAGTTTCATTTTGAATTTTCTATTATATATATTCCAAAATTTTTTAGCAAAAAATTGAATTTTAGAAAAAAATTTATAATAAAAAATGTATAACAGTTACCACATCTTCTACTTTTGTGCTATTTGAAATATTATTAAGTTTTTCTTCATCATCAGCTTCATTACCAACACTTTTTTCTAATGGACTAGACTCTAAACGATTATTGTTTTTATGAGGCTTGCTTTCAGGTAGATCCTAAAAAGTCATATTAAAAATTATGAAGAACGTCAAACCTTTAGTTTTATTTTATATTTTCTATTATAGATATCGCAACATTTTATAGCAAAAAATTGAACTTTAGAAAAAAAAATTATAATAAAAAATTTATAACAATTACCACATCTTCTACTTTTGTGCTATTTGAAAGATTAAGTTTTTCTTCATCATCAACTTTATTACCAACACTTTTTTCTATTGGACTAGATTCTAAACGATTATTTTTTTCATGAGGATTGTTTTCAGGTAGATCCTAAATGGTCATATTAAAAATTATGAAAAATGTCAAACCTTTAGTTTTATTTTATATTTTCTATTATATATGTCACAACATTTTATAGCAAAAAATTGAATTTTAGAAAAAAAATTATAACAATTACCACATCTTCTACTTTTGTGCTATTCGAAAAATTATTAGTTTTTTCTTCAACATCAGCTTTATTACCAACACTTTTTTCTAATGGACTAGGCTCAAAACTATTATTTTTTTCATGAGACTTGTTTTCAGGTAGATCCTAAAAAATCATTTTAAAAATTATGAAGAACGTGAAATCTTTAGTTTTATTTTGAATTTTCTATTATATATATTCCGAAATATTTTAGCAAAAAATCGAATTTTAGAAAAAAAATTTATAATAAAAAAATTATAACAATTACCACATCTTCTACTTTTGTGCTATTTGAAAGATTAGGTTTTTCTTCATCATCAACTTTATTACCAATACTTTTTTCTAATGGACTAGATTCAAAACGATTATTTTTTTCATGAGGTTTGTTTTCAGGTAGATCCTAAAAAGTCATACTAAAAATTATGAAGAACGTCAAACCTTTAGTTTTATTTTATATTTTCTATTATAGATATCGCAACATTTTATAGCAAAAAATTGAACTTTAGAAAAAAATTTATAATAAAAAATTTATAACAATTACCACATCTTCTACTTTTGCGCTATTTGAAAGATTATTAAGTTTTTCTTCATCATCAGATTTATTTCCAACATTTTTAGCTGAGCTAAAAACACCCATGTTTTCTAAAGGATTTGATTCAAAATTGTTACTTCTTTCATGAGGCTTGATCTCAGCTTGCGCCTAAAAAATAATTATTAAAAATTTATTAGGATCCTGTAACCTTTATTTCATGTTTTCTATATGTATTTTAAACCATAAACCATAGTCTCAAACTCAATACAAAATTATTATTCAAATTCATTATTTATTCATGTAACTGTTCATATTTCTTATAATGGAACAAACTTTTATAAATCAGAACAAAATTTTAATTTGTGTTTCTGATAAGTCTCTAAATTTGTACAAGATTTTCTATAAATTATCAAGTTTAATAGTTTTAATAGTAATACCACTAATTTTATCTGGCTTGGACAGAAATGGCGCGCAATCGCACACTCTAACTGACCACGCTTATAATTTTTTTCTTTACAATTTGACCATGGCTGTTTTGATGTTTTAACAATTTAAATGCAATTTAAAAAATTTTTACGTTAAGATTAACTTTTAATCATTAATGTTTTCTAAGGTTTTATTCTATGCAAAGGAATCGCTTATAATTAATACTCAATTTAATGCTGCTGCTGCCCATTCGTGTGCGTTTATTCAGACTTTTTTACCATTTATTATAAATAGGATTTAGCATGTTTCTTTTCTTTGCACTTTTGAACTCACGCGATGAGGTACTCTTAAATATTAATAATCTGTCAATATCTTACCTTAATCAGTGATTAGATCAAAAACTTTGCTTCATCAGCTTAATTAGTAATAAGATCGAAAATTTTTATTTGATAACTTCTGTAGTAAAGGATGAACCTTAAGTTATTTTTGAAATAGTAAAGTAACTTAAAGTCAGGTAATTTATTTAATTCATGCATTGTGATAATAACACAATTCAAATTCTTTGTCAATTGTATTTAAAGTATATTAATCTGGAATTTTTAAATTAGAAGACGATGATGACTGTAGAAAACATTGCTCTTTTCAAAGGACAAACTCTTGCATCTCACATAGTCAACTCTATGTTACATGTTAAAGAACAAGATCATTTAATACCTTATTTTAAAGAACTTGAAAAAAAAATCCTTTTGTTTTTATTTAAAAAACCAGATTGTTTGATCGTTTATTTTTGCAAGTTGTTAAACATTTATTACTAGGTATGTCATTAAACAAATATTACAAAAATAAGGTTGTATTTGTAAAGTTTCTAATGCATATATTTTTCTTAATTTATATATTTATATATTTTTGTGTGTTATTTATTAAGTGTTTATATGTGTTAAGGTATATAGATTTTTATTTTGTAAGAGTGTAAATATCTTTAATATATATGAGTGTTTCTATGTTTGATATAATGTTATTTATTAATAGTTGGTTAGTGGTTATTATGCTGTTTGCATGGGTTCAAATTGCTGTGACTTGGCTTAGTTTACAGCAAGAATGTTGACCTTGCTCCCCAAGTGGTGAATTTTGCTATAATGTGACTTGGGAGTTAAGTGGTGTACTGTCATGATGTAACACATAAGTTCAATCTGTTTGTAGTTAGTGTAGTCATTAAAATGTTTAAAAAATATTGTTGAACGAATGTGTTTTTAAAAAATGTTGAAAAGATATATAGTTTTTTAATATCTATCATTTTTTTAATGCCTATAATTTTAAGTAAATTTTATTAAACAGATTTATACTTCATTAAATATTTTTTATACTGTTACTTTTTGAGTAAATTTGTTTAAAAGATACTTTGATCCTTCCCATTGAAACATTTAAGAGTTTCGATTTCCTTCATTAAACATGTTCAACTTAAATTTCCTTATATATATAAAGGTAAGTATACAACATGTTAAAACATAACTTTAAATAACTTTCATTAAATTTTTAAGATTTTTTGTAAAGAAAATGTTTTCTTTTTATTATTATTTTAATGTTTTATATAAATATATATTAATTATGTTAGTGTATTCTACAAATAGAGTGCTAAATGTTCTTAAAGAACAGAGCAATATATAGATATATATTGCTATATATATATATATATATATATATATATATATATATATATATATATATATATATATATATATATATATAGCATGACTATATATATATATATATATGATATATATATATATATATATATATATATATATATATATATATATATATATATATATATATATATATATATATATATATATATATATATATATATATATATATATATATATATATATATATATATATATATATATATATAGTCTTGCTATATATATATATATATAGTCTTGCTATATATATATATATATATATATATATATATATATATATATATATATATATATATATATATATATATATATATATATATATATATATAGCATGACTATATATATATATATATATATATATATATATATATATATATATAGTCTTGCATGGTAGTCACAAAGTTTTTCCCATAAACTGTTGTTTTAAAGAGCGCGTTAATAAGCCTGACCAGAAAATGTTAAAAAACTTCAAAAAAAAAATTTTTTATTTAAATGATATACTGTCTGCCCAAACCAAACCCTCAGTCGATGTAGCAGCACTTCCTTGTGAGTCAGGCTATTTGTCAGTTGATGTAACAGCACTCCCTTGCGAGTCAGGCTATTTGTAAGTCGATGTAGCAGCACTCCCTTACGAGTCAGACTATTTGTCAGTTGATGTAGCAACACTCTGTTGGTAGTCAGGCTGTAAGATAGTCGATGTAGCAACACTCCCTTGTAGCAGGAGGCTATAAGATAGTTGATGTAGCAACACTTACACATGTTTTAAAAATGTTTTTTAATAAAACAAAAACAAAAACACCACTAATTAAAAAAAACTTTCTAGTCATTATTATTGCGGTTTTTTAAAAAAACAATAAAATTTAATGTACTTCCGCATTAATTTAATTGCTTTGACATTTCGACGACAATAAAATGCAGCTTTTTTAAAAAAACAATAAAATTTAATGTACTTCCGCATTAATTTAATTGCTTTGACATTTCGACGACAATAAAATGCAGCTTTTTTAAAAAAACAATAAAATTTAATGTACTTCCACATTAATTTAATTGCTTTGACATTTCGACGACAATAAAATGCAGCTTTTTTAAAAAAACAATAAAATTTAATGTACTTCCGCATTAATTTAATTGCTTTGACATTTCGACGACAATAAAATGCAGCTTAAGAGACAAGGTAAAAAAATTGTAGTCGAAAGAGACTTTTTTTACCATAAAAGTCTCTTTCGACTACACTATAAGGATATATATATATATATATATATATATATATATATATATATATATATATATATATATATATATATATATATATATATATATATATATATATATATATATATATATATATATATATATATATAATTTTTTAATTTGCTTTATTTATGAGTTCTTATATGTAAAAAATTTGTTTTTCAAATTAAAAAGATTATATCAATTTATTTATAACTTTAGTTCTTATAGAAATATGTTAAATATACTTATAACTTTAGTTCTTGATAGAAATATTTACACATTGCTCAATTATTTTAAAACATCTAATTAAAATATGACTAATAGTAGAATAGAATATAATTAGAACATTATATTATGCTGTTTTATTTGCTTATGCTGTATTTTAGAAAAGTTAAAGAAAGAAAACTCAATGTTCAATCTAAAAATAAAAGTTCAACTTTTATTATTTTAAGCATCATTTTTACACACTCCTTTGATGCCTAATAATGTCTGATAATTTAATAAATAAAATCATTAGACTTAAAATAAAATAAACCAGGTTGGGCGAGCTGAGATAAATTGTCGTAAAAAGAAAAGAGATGAGCCTAGGCAAGCTGATATAAATTGTAATCAAAATGAAAGAAATCAGGCTAAGCAAGAACTCAATAGGTATAATATGTATCACATAGCAAATTTAGTTATTTTATTGTTTTAGTTCTACTCAGGTCTCTACCAATTATCATATGTTTACTTTGTCTACTGTTAAAATATGGTTTTAACTTTTTAAATTTTAATTATTTAAAACTTGCTAAGTTGATCATTAGCTAATAGTTTAAAAGGAAATTAGTTGTCACAATCAAGGTAAGAATTTATTTTTCTGATCAAATTGCAAAATTTGTTTGCACAGATAGCTATTATGTGTTTGTTATTTTGTGAAATAGCTGATTGTTTTTGCAATAAATGTCTTTTTTTACAGATTTTGACTATTTTTACCAATTCTATAGAAAAAGCGTCAGCAACAAGTAAATTGGTTTGTAATGTTTTTACTTCTTTTATCATGTATTAATTTTTTAATTTAAAAATCTTACAATCCTTTTTCAGCTTATTGCAGAACAAATAGAGGACCCGCATCTCATAAGGCACATAAGATATGAGCATAAACTTATAGCAAAATCTTCAACCCCCCCCCTCCCTCCTTTTTTTTTTTAATTTATTGTTGATCCTGTAGAAAGTAAAGTATGAGGAGAGAGAGTGGTAAAAAAAAAATACGCTGCATCTATAATTAGTATTTTTGTAGTTGGTTAATCTACCAATTGGTAATTGATAATGCAAACTTAGTTAAATTTTTTTGTAAATACATACTTTTTTTTATATATTTTGTTTTGTTATTATGTATAAATAAATTGATTTCCAGTTAATACATGTGTATTTTTTTCCTTTTTTAATCCGATTACTTTTTAGATTAATCAGATGACGTGTTTGTTCAATATAGACATACAATTAAAAACTATTAAAAATTGTTGTTTTTTTAATTTGTTAATAAATATGTAAATATAAATATCTTTAATTTTACAAAGCTATTAGGCATTTTTTTTGAAATCACAATCCTTCATCATTCGTATTTTATCTGAACAAAAGTCTATGCAAATATCTGACATAATCTTTAAATTATTAAAAATTATATTAAATGTTATACATTTACTTTTACTTGAAAATTTTATTAGGACGATATTTTCTTAATTTTGAGTTGTATAAAACTTTATAAAGCATTAAAAACCATTTTATAAAGTTTTATAAAGGTTTAAAAATAATTAAATGCTGTTTTAT